TCTGACGACTCTGTACCTGCCGTGAGGGAAGCACAACATTCATCGCCTCCACACACCCTTTTTCTCCCTCTCTACTCCCACAGATATTGTGTATCTAGACAGTTGTATCCAGCGACCGGCTCATCCACGCCATCGCCGTTGTCTCACATGAGGCATGCACCGCCAGTTCTGCCTCACATATGCTATGCAACCCTGCAGACAACAAGTCTCCTACACCGCCTGGAGGGAAGGGGGAGTATTGTAGTGGATTTCTCCCCTATAAACGCTGTTTGTCGCTGAGTAGCCGACCCCACCAATTCCCCAGTGTATGCCTCGTGGACTAGGTCAACCAATGCCGCCATACATCACAGAGCGGGGGTCAACTGCTAAGCCACGCCTGCCCCCCGCTATTTAAGACCTGACCTCGTGGTGACCTCTCTCTTTCTACCTACAATAACCAGCCAGCAACACCTCCTCCTCCGCCGCTGCCTGGGGGCCCTCGCTCCTCCTCCACCTGCCTGGCGGCCCTCGCTCCTCCTCCGCCTGCCTGGCGGTCCTCGCTCCCGCCAGCGAGCATGGCGACCCACAAGCTGGTCCTCCTCTGAGCATCCTCATCAACCAGCTCCCTCTACATCACGCTTGTAACCATGCTGCCTTCCCAGCACCAAGCTGCATTGTACATCCAATATAACATGTATATAGAGAGCACATTGTGATTTTCCTTTCTCCATCCCATCCTGAGTGTGAACTAAACAATCAAAAACCCCACAACAGAGGAGGGTGAGACCAGGTCCAAAATGGTCAGGTATTAGGTAATGACCCTACTAATCTTTAAATAGCACACAACGGTTGGTGGTCAGGTCAGATGGTCAGGTGACCCGGCCTTCTCACCTGGTTACAAATCTTCTTAATTACAAAATTGTCCAGCTTGTACATGCCGTTACTCAAATTCATGTTGAATGCTTCTGTATGTTTAATAAGACTAGATTCTATGATGTTCCTACTATCAATTGAATTACATGGTAATATTGAGGAGGCATTATCCCAGTCAATGCAATGCTTGTTATCCCTTACACATTAATTATGATTTTAAACTGGTCAGTTTTGATGTAACATCACTCTTTACAAAGGTCCCAGTTGATGATTTACTAGAGTTCCTCATAGATTCCCTGGATGATATTTCACTGCCCGTCTCGAAAGACGACTTCATCGAACTCATCAAACTATGTATTAAGGATTGCAAATTCGAATTCAATGGAGAATATTATGCTCAAAAATTTGGTATGGCAATGGGTAATCCACTCTCACCTGTATTAAGCAACCTATATATGGAATTCTTTGAAAAGAAACTATTAAGTAATATTTTACCACCCTCAGCAGTCTGGTTTAGATATGTTGATGATGTATTATGTCTCTGGCCATGTAATGAGGACCTAAAAGCTTTCCTGCCACAACTTAACAACTTAGCCCCCTCGATCAAATTCACTGTGGAATTAGAGCAAGACTGTAAATTGCCATTCCTAGACTGTCTGATACACAGAATAGGTAACACTTTTAAGTTCAGTATTTATAGAAAACCAACTAATGTGTGTTCATACATTCATTATTATTCTGCCCACCATAATAAAGTCAAACAGTCAGTATTTTCAACAATGTTTTTACGTGCCTTGAGAATTTGCAGTCCGGAATTCATCGATGAGGAATACAAATATATATATAATATTGGCTCAAACCTTAAATACCCTAGATCTTTCATAGACAAATGCCTAAACATTACTAAGAAAACTTTTTATAGAACTGATCCCAAGCCCACCCATGACCATAAGAATATCTTAATATTACCATTTCACAAAAATTTCTCACACATTCCTTCACAACTAAAAACCTGGAACGTCAATGTGGCATTTAAAAACTCATGCACTGTTAAACAAATGTTAATCAAGAACTCCCCCAACAACACAATTGGTTGCATTTATAAAGTTCCTTGCAAGGAATGTAATATGTTTTACTTAGGCCAGACAGGAAAAGATCTTGCAACTAGAATTAAACAACACAAATACAGTGTTAGGACAGGCCAGGAATCCAATGCTCTGTTTGTTCATTTGAGGGATAACAAGCATTGCATTGACTGGGATAATGCCTCCTCAATATTACCATGTAATTCAATTGATAGTAGGAACATCATAGAATCTAGTCTTATTAAACATACAGAAGCATTCAACATGAATTTGAGTAACGGCATGTACAAGCTGGACAATTTTGTAATTAAGAAGATTTGTAACCAGGTGAGAAGGCGGGTCACCTGACCATCTGACCTGACCACCAACCGTTGTGTGCTATTTAAAGATTAGTAGGGTCATTACCTAATACCTGACCATTGTGGACCTGGTCTCACCCTCCTCTGTATATATACACCTTGGTTTGTATTTCTCTCTCTAGTCTGTACTCACCCCTGAAGATGTGAATTACACGAAAGCGCTTGGGAACTTCGTGTTTTCTTCTTTCCTTGTGGTTATCAGCATACAGTGAGTTCTGCTATAACCCTTCTCCCCCATCAAGTTACATTCATATTTTTTCAAGGTAAAGTGTTAAATCTTACTGTATGATTTCATTATTAGATATGAATGTAACATTTATTTAGACTGTGCTATCCTTTGTGTTAGGCTAACTACTAAATTTTTTCGATTTCGAGTAATCTGCACCTAACCCTAATATATATATATATATATATATATATATATATATATATATATATATATATATATATATATATATATATATATATATATATATATATATATATATATATATATATATATATATATATATATATATATATATATATATATATATATATATATATATATATATATATATATATATATATATATATATATATATATATATATATATATATATGCGCCTGGACGGGTCCTTTCTGCATGGTAAGTCAAGTGGGGTGGAGAGGGGGTTAGGGGTCGACTTGATGAAGGGCCATTTGGTTGTTGGGGCAGGGGTGTGGGAAGTTGATCATCAGAGAGGGAGGGGATTTAAGAAAGCCGGGAAATTCATGAAAGAAGGAAGGGAAGGATGGATGTATTTTTTTGACAATATTATCTTAGGTTTCCATGCTTGAAAGAGTAATAGATGAGGCTCTTATTTTATTATTATTATAATGTGTCATCCATTTCCCTATTTATTATTTTTTCAGGTTAGTGTTCAGGTTTTAAACACAGAAAATTAGATATTTATAACAACGTTAATATGAGGAGAAATACTGAATACGAGGGATGCAATCACATTTATTTTTAATATTACCAACACAGGTCATACAGAATCTTAATAGCCCGTTCAATGTCCTCCTCGCCTCTCATTCATGGTCTCCCCGGCCTAAAATTATATAATTTATATAAATGAAGAGTTCAAATATGTTTTGTTTACATTACACACCCAAAATTATTCATTTTAATACAGTACGTGTATCAAATGAGAGCCAACCATCAAAAGTACTCATGGAGGCTATTTTTTCCCAAGTTCCCAGACTCCTCCCAGTGGATTAACCAACTTCTCACAGTGACCCCAACCTTCCTTGCACTTTCTGACACGTTGTAGCCAGCTGCACGTAAACCAATAATTTGCATGGGACTAGCCAACGGACACTCTTTAGCACCCATTTTGGGATGGGTGTGGAGTAGTGGCCAAACACGATTGCCACTACCAACTCATTACCTTGCATTGATTTTCATAACTCTAATAAAGTTATTACAGGGTGGACAAGTCACATTCTACGGAACAATTCATTCTTATTCTTTTTATCAATTAAAAGTAATTATTTTTCAAGAACGGTAGTAGCGAGAGGTGGCAGTGATAAGTAACAACCTCGTTTAGTGTTACTGGTGGTGAACAAGCCACGCCCCCTCCTCTCTTATGTTGTCATATCAGGGGCACTCCCTCACTGAATCAAGATGCCTTATCAACCTTAATGACACATTATCTGCCAAAAGCTCAATCGCATTCCTCCCCAGAATCTCAAGTAAAGGCATAGATAACTAAGGAAAAGGTAAGTCCATATGACACCTTCCTTTCACCTCCCTGGACACCTGCCCTCCTGGTTGGTTGGTTGTTTGGGCTTTAGGCCTATCAACTGCCAGGGTCATTAAGGCCGTCAACGTCAAGCTACATCCACCAATCTTAACACCAATGCAAAGAACACATGCACTTTCACTATGTAGGTGGCCCATAACTTGCACCCTCCTACCTTACCTGGATCTGCCACCCTTAGCTCACCCCCATCAATACATCCCCCTCCCTCTTGTGACCCATCGTGTATAAAGGCCTTGAGCTCGTGAGTATGGTAGTAGGAGGGATGGATGATTACTTTAGACCATGAATATACATTAGTACAGTGGGGTATGCTATAACGAATCTAATTGGTTCTAGAACCTTGTTCGTTATAGCATTCGTTCGTTATAGGATTAATCCGTTCCAGGCCCCCAAATACAACCACTTAACACTGAAAAATATAATATTAAATTGTAAAAATTGTAAAAAAGTGCATAAATATGCATCTAAACCCTTGAAATAAAGAATATCATTAATACTTGTAATACAGAAACAATAAATTAGTAAAAAAAAAAAAAAATTTATAATGTTCGTTGTAGGAGTTTCGTTCGTTATAGCATTATCAATTTTATAGGTAAAACCGTTCGTTATAGGAATATTCGTAGTAGGATCCGTTCGTTATAGCATACCCCACTGTACATAAAAAAATTGGTGAAACCTCTGCGCTCTCCAAACCACACCATATGTATTGTATTGAAACAAGTGCAAAAATTCATGGACATTTATAAAATCCTGACACATTCTCAAAACACAAATGGATAAAATTTATTATCACATCTAATAAACTTGATCAATATGGAGTTGTTTCTTTCCTATTCAAAACCAAGTAAAAAGTTGTCACCAATTAACAACACAAAAAGTACTTCAGGTTTTGCTGCAACAGCATTTAAACACAATAGTTCAGGTTTATACATATATTTATGTAGAACCTGTCTGTTTACCTTCAAGCTGTAATAACTGATACATAATAACTATCCCAGGTAAGCTCCAACTACATGAAATTGAAATTGGCTGATTTTTTTGCAGAAAATTCGGTTGTCTCTTAAAAAAATGAAAATTATAACAGAGTCATCATTAGCAGATATAAATTAAGTTTATTTCACAACTAAAATTTGGTAATAATAATATACTTCCATCTACACAAATCATGAAATTTGTTTAAATCATCATGCAGTACCCAATCAACAATTCCACACAGCACTGCAGCAGTATTCATGTCCAGTATTCATTTATATTACTAAAAGGTTGCATATGGATGTCTCTTTAGTAAATGGACACGTAAGAGATCTGAGCGAGCAGAACAATAAGAACAATATGGGCATGAGTACGGCTTCTCCCCAGTATGTGTCCGAATGTGCTTCCTGAAGTTGTTCTTGTGGTTGAACGTCTTGCGACAGAAGTTACAAGTAAAGCGGTCCCACATCCCACTCGGCACGCTCACCATTCCGCCATCATCCTAGAAGGAAGTGCACGGAAGGTTAGTGGATGAATGTTTCAAGATCTCTTGAATAGCCCACTAATTTAAGCTTTCCTTATTCTTCTCCTCAGGTAAGTCTGTAGGAAATTCTGGTTCTGTAAGAGCCTTTCCTGGTGATTTATAGCCCTAAACAGGACAATCACATATCACTTGATGCAATTTACAAATATTCTGTAGTTTTCTTTACATACTCACTTTTACTGACAATTACTTATAAAATGAAAAAAAAAACAAACACAAGTGTTATTACCTCTAACCGATGATATACTTGAGGAATTACCTACAATAATCTAAGTACTGTACACTGAGACAATAACTATGTACAGTCACTCAAAAAAGTACTGTCTAAAAAGTGGGGTCCGATGGATGTCAAAACGAACAATATTTTTCAGATACTTTTTTGAGCGACTGTACCTGCAGTTTCTTTTCGAGTTGATACCTTCATTTCAGATGATCATTGGGATGAATGAGAAAAGAAAAATCTACTATCAAGATTAATTTCATTTAAATACAGGTATACCAAACTTAATAAATTAAAATACCTGCATGTTATCGACAAAGATGTAACAATTAGCAAGCACAGCTTTAAACAAGAACTCACAAATTCATTGTGTTTGTTATTCAGCATGTTAACTGCTAGCTTTTCTTCTTTCCAGACTAAATTGATTATATATCAAATACAATGTCACACTCCAGTCTTGAGGTTCAGGTGTTCAATAGTGCTATTTTTTGCTATTTGAATTCTGCTACTTGAATTCTTCAGGTACTGTACTGTATTCATTTTACACATATATCACTGAGGAGCAGCAGCACACTTCAAGGACATGTAGCTCTATCCTTTCACAAAGATACACACAACTGCACAGCTGAATGGAATTTTCATGAGGGTTACCACAGCAAAGGCCCTCATGAGGGGATTGGTGCTTTACTGAAATTGAACATCTACAGACGCTTTTGCAAGGTCGCTGTACAGTAACATCAGCAAGGGACTTTTATGATGAGGCTAACAAATAATAGATAAAACAAAGCTACTATATGTGTTTCCTGATACAAACACCCAGAAAATAAAGTATGAAAGACCTGTAAGGCAGCAGATGAGTTAAACTTCTTGGCCATAACAAAGTTTCACTATATCACAACACTACAGATCAAACAACATTTAAACAATGTTATCTTGAGCCTCTTGAGTATGGGTTGTCAGATACTGACACATAAAATGATTCCAGTAATAGCAGTGATAGAGAAAGTACATCATCTCTCCCACAGATGTCGCAGTCATTCATGTCACAGCCCGAGTCTACTCATGTTGAACCAACACCAAAACTAGCCCCAGGAAATTTTTTATTGGTTCATTATACTGTACAACCAAAAAGTTATCTAAACATTATGTTGCAGTCATAGAGTCAGTGACAGAAGTGGGCATCAAGATCATTGTCAAACATCTTAGAAAGAGTGGCAGAGATAGATTGGGTCATATTCAGTTTCATTTCCCTGATAACCTAAACAGAGATGAAATAGCAGAGGACATGGTTGTGCAGGCTTTGCTAACTCCTGAAGTATCAAGAAAGTTACATATATTCAAAGGGGTGACCCTTCCATCCTCCATCAACTAGATATTTATTTATTTTAATTAGTAGGTATACATCTCTCAAAGTTGTAACATAGGTATGTACACACATCATTTATGCTGATGTAACTTAAACAAGCATTGTTTTGTAGTAAGTTTATTATATAAATTTTACACCAGTACATATTTTTTTATGTCTGTCATACTTACAATCACATTAACAGCAAGTCAATAAATATCGCACAAGTAACGGTCGTCACTGCTCTGGTAAGATGTGTGATGGTCACATTTTCCTTAATAGCATAATAGTTATTAGGAATAATCAGTCTGTTGGGTATGGTTATGATCCTTATTAATGATATGAAGCCTTCCTTGACTGAACCAGTCAAATAACAGACTTAATGAAGTGAATGGTGCAAAGTGACTAGAGGGGGCAGCATCGCGGTAATGTTCCTCACTCAACTTTTAAAAATATATTTAAATCTAAATTAAAACAGAGAAACAATCCACCTGTGGTATGATGTAGTATGAAGTGCTGGTAATATATCTTGTAAGAACCATTTGTTTATACTGCTTAATTATGAAAATATAACTGAGAGTATTTCAATAACTTGGCTCCAAATGTAATGTTCCTCACTATGGAATGACCCAATAGTCACTCAGATACTGATGAACTATCAAACATTCTTACAGAGAAAGTCATAGAACAACAAGCAGTGGAACAGTTCCTGGACTCTGTAGAATAAGTTTCATAAGGTACAGCAATCTTCCACAGTTTTTTTAGTACAGCAATTGTTTTATCATTATACTGTATCGTTGATGTAATGGTTACCTGCTTAGTTACAGTATAATTTTATACAGGTATGAGGTAATATCCTTTTCAAATTTCCAACACATTACTGTATGTATAAAAGGCAATCTTGTTTTCTAAATATTATACTTCCACAAAATACTATAGTACATACTGTACAATACTGTACATTATATCATTGTTCACTATAGCGTTTATATTATTTCTATTTTGTGAACACACCGCACATGACTCTTCAGGTTTACTTTCTGAATGGTACGAAAACTGCAGAGGGGACATGAGAATGGTTTCTCCCCTGTATGGGTGTAGTAGTGCTTGAGGAAGTTGTTCTTGTGAAGAAACACTCTGCCACAGCAAGGGCAGGACACACCCTGTCCTGGTGGGCGGACTGACTGCTGGTGCCACACAAACGATCCATCCTACAAGACAGATACACCACCTTACATGAGTGATATCTCTTACTTTACTAATAAAAATAAAATCCAATCTTCTACTGTACAGGTATTATCTATAAGTGATAAAATGATGTACAAAACCCCATGTGTCAGCTAAAACAAAAACAATTTATATGTTATCCTTGAACACTGTTAATTATATCAACTTTAAATGGCCCTCATATACAGTACAGTTGGGTCTTCATTTATGCGGTCAATTGAACCCGCGGCGTACCGCGTAAAACGAGAAACGCGTAAATGAAATAACAGAACATATGGGATTAATTGAAATAGAGACTGGGCCAAACCCCAAACTCCACTTTTTCCAACACAACACGTACCTTGTAGTCAAAATAACATCTTAATTTTATGACGGTATGCACACACAATTAATAATTAAGAGAAATATCAATAATATTTAACAACTACATAAGTAGAAAAGATGGCTGGGCACACGGGGATCGGGGGTTGGTTCCGAGGCAGAGGGCAGATTATTGGCCCTCACCTGTATCACTTGTATCACTATCCACCACAGAGGCTTGCAGGGCCTCTTTGTCAAATCCCTCAAAGTCCGTATAAGTCCATATCCTCACTATCACTATCACTGACTTGGGCCAGCTGTGGTGGGTGGCGGGTGAAGAACTCAGTAATGTTTTGATGACTGGGCGACCTTGTGCGCACCCTGCCCGCGCTGCTTCCCGCGTAAATGACCAGATTTGCTGCATATATCAAGCATTTCAATTCTGGCAAGGCACCGCCTAAATGACAAAACGCGTAAACCAAAACCGCGTAAATCCAGACACAACTGTACAGTATATACATAGATCAGTTACAGCCTTAACTTTTATCACAAGACACAGTACTAAGAATGGATGGGTGATAGGAGATGTGTTCCAAGATACTGCACTTTCAGGGTTTAGATATATTTGATTCACCGTAAAGTGTTCGAGACAGTTTCCTAACAATTTTTTCCTCATTTATCCATCATAAGGCATGACTATTATGTTAACCCATCTGCGACATTGTGTTAAACAGCTAATAAGAGCAAAAATAGTTTCAGTGTTTTTTGTAAATACAGGACTGTATATTTTGACATACATCTATATAATATAGGTACAGCACAGTACTGTAAATTTAGTTTAAAGAAATACTACTGTATCCATAATGATTGTATTAATCCTATGTAAAATTTGAAGTCTTAAAGTACTGTATTTCAAAACATATAAAACATATTCATGTCTCCTGAATTAAAATTGAAGTATTAATCTTGAAATCTTTTTCAGTACAGTAGGGTCGGGATATATCGCAAGATAGGGTCCAAGGATGTTCGCTATATACTAAATCACGATATATAATTACATGTAATCAATGGGGAAAATAGGGTTAGGTTCCGGAGGCCAATAAAAGTGACTAAACTTGACATAAAATGGCACAGTCTTAAGTTAGCAGAATATAAATTTCATTGCTGGAATCCTCGCAAGACAGCAAATAATTTGATATACAGTGTAACCCCGCTTTACGTGGTCAATTGAACCCACGGAGGCCAGCGTAAAGCGGGAAACGCGTAAAGTGAACAACAGAACATATGGGATTAATTGAAATAGAGACTGGGCCGACCCCCCAAACTCCACCTTTTCAGACACATTACCTACATTGTAGTAAAAATAACTTCTTAATTTTATGATGGTATGCACACACAATTAATAATTAAGAGAAATATCAATAATATTAGGTTTTTTAACACTTACATGAGTAGAAAAGATGGCTGGGCACACAGGGATGGGGGGTTGGTTCCTAGGCAGAGGGCAGATTATTGGCCCTCACCTGTATCACTTGTATCAATTATATCACTATCTACCACAGAGGCTTGCAGGGCCTCTTTGTCAAACCCCTCAAAGTCAATATAAGTCCATATCCTCACTATCACTATCACTGACTTGGGCCGGCTGTGATGGGTGGCGGGTGAAGAACTCGGTAATGTTTTGATGACTGGGCGACCTTGTGCGCACCCTGCCCGCGCCGCTTCCCGCGTATATGAGTAGATGCACTGCGTAAAGTGGGAATTCCGGTTCTGGCGGGGCACCGCGTAAATGTAGAAACACGTAAAAAAAAAAAATGCGTAAAGCGGGGTATTACTGTAGACATCACATAATTTGCACAAGAGATAAAAATTTTAAGCCTTTGTACAAAAATGTATTAAATTATTATTAAAATTGTTATGTCTATTGCAAACTATAGCATGTTTATATTCAAATTAATCTTTATCTTACAAGAATTTCAGCAATGTTAATTATATTCTCTTAAATCAATTCATTGACATTTGATAAGAGAAAAACATACACTCCCTCTATATATGAGATAAATAAATGTCACTAGGTAACTGTTGTCTGGCTCAGGCACAGCTGTCATAATAAATTAACTCCTCTCCGACTGCCGGTAAGGGTGACTGTGGTTTTAGGCTTAAAGTCTTTATCTTATAAAATGTCACATACTAAAGTTAGCAGAATATAAATTGCATTGCTGGAATCCTTGCAAGACAGCGAATAATTTGAATATATACATAATGTATTTTTCACAAGAGATAAAAATTTTAGTCTTTTAGAGTGCATTTAAGTACTGTACAGTTTTTCAAATCGTATTTTTGGGGTGATTTAGGGGATTTTTAGGAGTGTTTCTGACTTTATACGGTTTTTGGCTTTATCTGAGGTCCCAGCAACATAACCCTGCGTAAGTTGTGAGTCTACTGTAACTAAATTTATTGCTATATACTGGAAATTTTTTATAATTTTGGTGTAGTCATAAATTTGAAATATTTGCTGCCCGATTTCCCTCGCGAAATAAAAAATAAATATCGCTATATATGTACAGTCGACCCTCGTTAATTCGGACCCCTTTAATCCGGATTTCAGATAAATCGGACGAAATCTGAACTGTCCACATCAAATTTCTGGTTCTGGGATTGTCCCAGTTGCAATTGGGGTTGCAATTTCAAATTCTGTCACTACTAAGAAATAACAAAGTCCCTGGTGCATTCTAAGATTAAGAGAAAACGGACGACTCAGGCGTCCTGAAGTGAGAGAAAACGGACTCCTTTGACGGGGCACTCAAATAAAGAGACATGGCTACATGTTTTGTGGACTAGCCACTATACAGTATCCTTTTCATCACTTTGTAATAAACCTCGTTATGCCTATGTGTTTCTGATAATTATCATAACATTATATATTTATATATTTAGCGGTTGTACAAACACAAGGCCTCACACATGCCATTCAGACTGACAGACTTGACAAGTTTTACCAACCATAAAGACAGTTGAAGCTTTAAACATCACTCACAATGGATCTTGAATATTCCAACTGTAATCAGACATACCTAAGTTGCCTCAACAATTGCAACCCCAGTTGCAATATCAAATTCTGTGTCACTACTAAGATATAACAGTCTCTGGTGCACTCTAAGATTAAGAGAAAATGGACAACTCAGGAGTGCTGAAGTGAGAGAAAACGGACTCCTATGACGAGGCACTCAAATAAACATACACATAGCTGTATAATGCAATATTAACCCCTAAATCGGTTAACTCGGACAATCGGCTAAAACGGACACCCTTCCCCCCCTATTAGTCCGTTTTAACGAGGGTCGACTATATATAGAAAAATGTCGATAATT